ACAAAACAGACCTCGGACGTGACTTCAAGACATATTGCAAAATTTAACTTTTTTTCTTGAAACCATCACAGAAAGCAAATTAATTAAATAGTGATTAAATTGTAAACAGCATAGGAAAAAGTAAAAAAAAATGTGTGGTTATTAAAAAATCGATTTAATTCCCAGTAATAGGGACATCCTACGTATCAGATTTAGTGCAACAAACAAAGAATTCAAAACAATGTAAAAACAAGTCTGTTAATTAGGGACTGCAAAAGGTTAGGTTTTTTTGTCTAATTTGGTCTTCATAGCAGACGACGGCGGAAATCATACGACAGCTCAATGACACGCGGTGTGTCTTGTTTAGACAAAAGCCACCAAAATTTATTGTAGGAGGTGCGGGTAGGTGGTCCGATGATCTCAAGTGGTCAAGGTCCTCTGGAAGCGGTCGTTGAAAGCGGGAGCGCTCGATCTACGACCTCGATGTCGAGATGGGTTTCGAGCGACCGGAACCTAAGAACGAATCACTTAACCTAAATGAATGAAGATTTTTTGAAGCGAAAAATGTAGCATTCACATTTTATTTAATATTTATTCTACCGAATAATACTTCGAGATTTTGTTAAAATAAATATTGATACTTGTACTAAAACCGGATCGGATAGGTTTTGTTGATTGCAAGAAAGTTTCGCGATCGATAAAAATACGTATTTTCGTGTTGTATACACAGAAAATAAAGGTAACTGGTCAGGGTTTATAATGAATTAGCGGACGATTGTCGACCAGCACAAAGAATAAAAAAGATGAGTTACAAATCAATGGTCACTGTATTGCCATTAGTCAATATTAACGAGTACGAAAATAACTGAACTGAACTAAGTTAAGGACATTATAATAAATACGCTGGAAACATTTTAAATCACAAAGCAAAAGTGAATAGTGAAAAGACAGCAAATATTTGATTTCACACAAAAAGCGCCTTTGTATCTGTTGATACGTATTTCGACCTAATAGGTCTCATCAGAACAGTTATTCAAAGGTGTTCTGCTTTGAATGTGAATACTTGGAATTTCCTTGACTACAATCAGGACGCCGACGCAAAGAAAAAAAATGTACCATACTTGTTAGACCAATTGTAATAACTTACGAAATAATGATAGAAAATATAACTGAATCAAACAATCTAGGACCTTTCTATACAAGAGAACGTAATGTTAAAACAATAAGAGAACAATTCTGACTAAGGCAATGGCACTATAAATCTTATTATTTTACTACTCTGTAAGATAACCAAGAAAAGAATACCTCCAGTATAAACGGAATGCGAATACAAATCAGCTCAAAATCAACTGTAACATATACAAACAGGTATATTGTAACTGTTTGACAATTAGGACAATATTTTCTTTATTTTTATTTAAGTAATGACGCGAAAAAGTTTTAAAAAATCACCATACCAAATTGAAATGTCGAAAGCAATTTACAAACAATTTTTTTAATAACATAGTGATATTTCTAACATTCTCATGATAATAACCAGTAGTAAGCCTAAACGATTCAAAAGAGAATCACTGCAAGATTCGGTTACAAACTGACATCTCTATCTTGATTCTTGTCGTCGGATAGAGAACCCAAAAGGTGCATTCTGCATGTATACTGGCGGTTAAGGGAAGGGGAAATTCATCCCGACAATGACGCTCTACGACTCTACGTCGACGTACTCTATTGATTTTTACAGGTTTTAATGTTAGGCCAGTTATTGAATTCGTACTAAATTTACTGTCAGACCAGTTTTTTGATACGCCATAAAACAATGTACTGAATTAGATGTTCAGAGATCAATGATGTACAAGTGAAATGTCTGGGTAAAATAAAAATTATACTTAATAGATACAGGTAAAATTTTAGAAATATTTTAAAATTATACTAGTATTAATATAAATATATTTATTAGGTAATATACATTTTAATTTAAACATAAATATATGTATGTGACTGGGGATAAATCACATTAGGACACATGAAAAGCATTGCATGTCAAATAAATGAATCTTCTTGTCATTAAAAAATATGTATTTCTTTGGTATTTTTGGTATATTATAAAAACCATGACTTTCTACTACAGATAAACTGCCAAATACTAATGCAAAATATTTTTAAACCCATTAATTTTAAATGTGAAATTGAGGAGATAATTATTGCAATCTAGACACTATTCTTAAGGGTGGACAAATTTGAATACCTGGGTGTAGTTTTTGATGAAAATGGAAAAGAGAAATGGGAGCTCGAAGCCAGAATAGCAAAAGGGAATAAAAAATTAGGTAGTTTAAGAGCCCTACTGAACTCAAAATATGTTTCTAGACAAGGTAAACTCAGAATATATAAAACAATAATTCAACCCACAGTAACATATGCCGGTGAGACATGGATATTAAATATGAAGGAAGAGGATACTCTAGAAAGATGGGAAAGGAAAATATTGAGACACATTTTCATAGGACGGAAGACAGAAGATGGTGGGAGAGAAGAACCAACAATGAATTAATGGCTTTATACAAAGAATCTACCATTACCAAGTTCTTCAAGGCATAAAGAATCAGATGGTTGGGACATGTAGAAAGAATGGCAGCAAACAGAATGCCTAAACTAGTAATAACCAGAAAACTAATCGGTCCCAAAAGAAGAGGTAGACCCAGAACGAGGTGGATTAGTAAAGTGGAGGAAGACCTTAAACATGTGAATGTGAGGGGCTGGAAAAGAAAAGCACAAAATAGAAGCGAATGGAGAAATATTGTACACCAGGTCCTTCAGAGTAGTTAAGAATGTTGTATATACATATTTAAGTTAAAGTTAAGTTTTGCTTTTAAAATAATTGTAATTAGTTAATATTAGGATTATGTTGTAAAAAATGCCCTAGGCCTTAACAGTCTGTTGTGCATAAAAATAAAATAAGAGACACTATTCTATTTAATAACAATCATGTTCTAGCTTTCATTATAATTGGGTATTGTTTGGTTTTCAGTAGCAATGGGTATATTTGTTACTAAGTTATTAAAATGCAAGTGAAGTTTTAGGAAGCTATTATCATGTTTTATTCATACAAATTAAAAAAAAAATAAAATTGAATAATTGATAGTAAATGTTGACAGCTACAATATTTACTGTCATTTGTCAGTGATGGGACAAGTGTCATCTTGTAAACTTATTTTAAATGATATAACATGACCAGTAGTACTTGTAGATTTTTGTGTGATTCTAGCGACCATTTAAAAATAGCAACTGTTTAATAATTGTCAATGGGGAGTGTAAAAACAAATATAGAGCACCCCTAACAATCTAATAATTTGGAATTCTTCAGTCTATGAACATATTTATCAATTTTTCTACCTTCCCATTATCTGTGAAATCTCTTGTGCCACTAAGTATTTTCCAAGATTTTTGTGCATGTCACAGCATTTTAAAATAAAAATCTTGCAATGTTAATAGTGACAGTGTAAAGTATGGACTACACTTAATAATTTAGTAATCTTCATCCTGTATGGAAAACTTTAAAGCATTTTCTGTAAAAGCTGAAGATTACCAAATTATTAGTGATAGTCTATTTTTTTTCCAACCCCCATTTTGAAATGATGCATAAGATTGGATAAAAATATGAGAACATACTAAGTGACAAGAGTTTTCAGATGAGGTAGTATTTGGCATATGATGACTTAATCGAGGCCATAATAAAGTGTGATTCACTTTTTTTGTCTGATAATTGTTTTAATGTGAGTCTTTTTAACAATTTTTACTAGTCTCAAAATTATTTTGGAACAAGACTGTGATAAAGCTTTTTTAGAAAAGGAGCAGCATTGTCAATATGTCCCAAGAAGACTAAATGTCTACAAGAACAAAGGTTTTCTGGTGGTTAAGAATGAAAGATTTCTGATACTAATAACAGGTTTACTTTTTTACTGCTTTAATAAATTAACACATCAATGTAGACAAAAAAAACAACTATGCAACATTTCGGGCACAAAAATAACTAAATGGTGGTACGTCCAATCTTTAGCCAAGCTGTGTGAAAGATTTGTAGGAAAGCTAATCATATAAAGTTGCTTGGATATAGTATAATTTAGATTAGTAAGGTATACTAGTATATGCTTGCACTTAACAGAATATTACAATATATTTCTGTAGAGTATACTGTAGAAAGTTATGATGGAAGATGGTATAAGGAATTACCACCAATTTCTAATAGGTTTTACTGCTCCTGATTAAGAAGTACATTCACATAAGAATGTTACAAATGTAAAATTTTGGGTAATACCAGCAGGGGTGAGAAACATCAACTATGGGAATAGCACAGTTCCACAGTTGTAAATTGTCTAATTTAATGTAGTGTTGCTTCCATGATAGTGGACAAATGATAGTGAGTTACATAAGACCCAAACACAGAAGAGCAGATAACTGTATGAACCTTTCAAGCTGAGCCAAATCTAGCAAAAGTTTTTCTCAAACTCAACTTAAATGGGATAGTAGATTTTTTCAAGAAGTCTATCTTGATTGAGAGCATTTGAAAAATAATAAATCAATTTTGGATGACAAGCACTAGTTTCTTTTTTAATTACGATCTGCCTCTTAACACCTTCATCTAATATGAAATTAACTAGCAAGCAAACCTTTAAAAATACTTTTCCCTATGTATAGGTAGCTAAGTTGATAATTTATATAAAAACAGATCTAATGAAAACATTCAAACAGAATATATCTTACATTGTAGCCAAAAATGTCATGCTCAGTTGCCTAATTAAGCAGCATGTACTTACTAAAAAGATATTCTTTATTTATATTTTCTGATAGTTACCAAAGTCTCAAAAGCCTAATGCAGTAATTAGCAAAACTAGAACTGACAATTTAAATTAAAAGTGAGTCAAGGACTGGCCTAACTGCATGATCGGTCCTAGAACCGCCAAACACGTGTGATTCATAGCCACTAACTAGCCCTTTGGGAAAATAATTTTAAAATTGTTTTAACTTACTTTGAGGTGGTGGCATCATCCTGAATGGTTGCGGCAGCAGGCAAATGCCCTCCTGCTTCACGTTGACAGTGCCGTTAGTCATGTACCTCGAAACCATTTTCGGAGGCCGAGGACAATTTTAACAAGGAATGTAATATATGCAGTCAATGAAAATTATCAATTCCTTATCGTAAACATAGCCGATGATTGTGATTTACTTAAAACGAATAAATTAACTAAAAAGAAGTGTATTTTGGATGAGAATTCGCTGGAATTTCGTCTCGACATGATGTGAATCACCACTGATTTCTGCAACCACTAGCGATGGGTGCATCAGAAGAACGTAAACACTAGAAAATCAAGCACAAAACGCAGTGTCACTCGCGAAACTAAAGCCTTGATTGCTGTTGAATTACGATGAACACAATTTGGTGATTAGAAAAAGGGTCTGTCTGTTTTAAATAGAAAATAGCAAAACTCGAACATGCCAAGCACGTCTCGCTGCACCCAACAGCAAAAATCAATAAGGGCGTTTTACAAATAATTTCCCTAGTAAAAAACAACCACAGTGCCACAGGAAAACCCACAGCCTGTCACTAACACTTAAACTTTTAGGTTACAGTGCACAACCTTATAACTCGTGTATAATGTTGATAAATAATTAAAAATTATATTCTTATCAAAGTCAAAATAGAATTTCGGCGACACACGCCATTGTATCGACTGTGACAGACAGTGATAATAGTTCCAGTATCTGCCACTAGGAAATGACAGGGCATGCGCTATCTTTTTAACCTATCATATACGCGTGCGGTGTTGCCGGAATTGATATTATTTCGAAGAAAATATATATTTTCAATTTTGGTCATGGAAATTTTAAAAATTAGAGACAAATAAAGAGGAATTATAAATATAAATAATACAAAACTAAAAACTATATGATCGTTATATAATAAATACCTTTCTGGAAAACTATCGAAAATAAACAGTATCAAAGTACCAAATAGTCAATTAAGTGCTAACCAACTTGTATTAAACTTCAGCATACTAGAAATTTACACAAATGTGGAACTGATGGTAATTCGAAGATGTCAGACATGTATTTTTGCAAATTGTGTATATTTTGATATTGAATTTAAACTGTAATTATATTCTAACGCAACTATATACCAAGTATGTTCTCTCTATACAGTCATGAAATAAATTTAATAGGATTTTTCCTTGAACCAAAAGAAATTTATGTACCAAGTTTCAAATTTCTGAAACGTTTCCTTCAAGAGTTATTGCATAGATGGACAGACAACTCCACAATTTCAAGGACCTGTGACCTTAAGAAATGGGATTGAGCCATTATTTATATTCTAATATTTATGCTGCTTCCATCAGGACTTAAAAATCTAAATATATTTTATAGGATTTACTACATATAAACTAAATACATTCAGATAATTACCAGAACCACTCAAATCTAGGATAAATAAAAAAAATATAGATGTCTATAGGAATTCTAATGAATTTTTCGCACAACAAAAAATTTGGTACATAACTAGTAGTCACTTAGGCATAGCTAAAAGTAGTGAAGTGACACAGATTAGAAAACTAATAGAAACACAAAATCCATAAAAGATTAAATATATTGATCAGACATATGGAGACATCTGCCTAGCACTCCTAGCAGTGACCAAAACTGAGAGATATAAAAAAGAATCTGCTTTTGCATTTTAAAAACTGAATATACAACATCTCTAATTTTCGTATAATAATCTAAAATTATAAAATGAGTCATTTTACCAATTATTTCATTAATAATGATCATTTCTATCCACAATGTATCAACAAAAAAAAAAAGAATGTGGAAATTTAATTTTATCATTTTAGTATGCAATAATTAGATCTATTTGTTAACTGCTATGTTATTCAACTGTTCTAAAGACTTCGTAAAACATTATTATAAACACAATATAATTAAAAAACATTGTAGAATCAAATTTTTTTGTTTATTTGCAAATTTAAAAGAGATATGGCAACGCTGCAAGGGAACTTTTAAATTTCGCAAGAAATTCTACATTGGGAGCAACATGTGCACGATGGAGATAATTTTGATTAAGAATTAATAATTTTAAAATTATTGTGCCTTATAAAATAAAAAGAATTTCACCTTTGCAAATTTAAAGGGTACTTTTCATCAGACTCACTTAAAATTCGGGTAACAAGCCGACCAGTTTTATCCAATTTTAATGTACACAACGTGGCATAAAAATGATTTGTCTTCCCATAACATAGTAATAGAGAAGCTTATGTAACTATAACATGCATTACAATTAACTACTTACAGTAATTATTGTTATTAAACATATATTACCTAGGTCATATGATGTAATAAATACCACAATACAACACGTCACTCCTTTTAAAATGAAAAATCACGTTTGGCTTGTAAGGAAAAATCTATTACTTTCGCAAATTTCACGTTTTAATACTTTTACTACAAAACTAAAAAATAATACCGACTATTATGTACCATATGGACTATTAAACTAAGCAGTTATGCATAAGCTGGTGAATGTAGACAAGACCTACCTGATTCTGGGTAATACCTATTGAGTAATAAAAGTTAACATGCCTCCACTTGACATACCAAGATCAGGAAATGCATCGGTGTTATGGTTGCGACTGACTGATTAAGTTTAATAGAAAATTATTGTCAAGAGTTTAATTCCCACTTATATTTTTTTGAGTCTCTCTTTTGATTATGAAATTCTGATAAAACTTACATTGATTTAAAGATTAAATTGTGGGTTCATAAAATTGGAAGTACATTTTTGATATAAACGAATACAATATTTATACGCACAGGCTTTTAAATAGATTTTTTCCAATCATAAAAGATCTCTGTACATTGCAATAAACAATATTTTTGACATTTTGATTTTGGTGTGACAGATGGGTGTAACTAAGATTAGGGTATTTGAAAAGGATACGGTGACGAAGTGTATCTTTGAGTCTGCGGCCCACCAGCCGCCGTTTGTTTTTGATTACTGCTCATTTCAGCCTTGGAGGGCCCAAAGTCCCTTACAGCAGCGGTGGCAGACCGATTCTTGACTTAATCTGCATATGTTCAACATTGACACATTATTGCAATTCTACGAAAGTACATATTCTACTTGTTGGCATTTTCACTAACAGCGTACTTACTTTCGCGCTGATTAATACGAACTTAAAAAAATATAACACTAAACAGTTTAAACTATGTATGGAAGAAGGTTAAGAATATTCCAAAATGGCGGAGTATTAAACTAAAAACATATTTTCACTCTACGTCCTTGTTCATTTCACCTTAAATTGATTTAAGGGAAAGAAGTAAAAACACTGAATGTTTGTTTTTCAGTTGTATGTACAAAATGTCAGTTTATACTATATAAATTAAAAGTTATAACTTTTCACTTTATCGAAAATGACACGCGGCTTTCACGTTTTCATAAAAGCACACCCAACGGAATATTACCAAACTAACATAACCAATCAAAACTGAATTTTGCGTCATCTACGACTATCGAATATCTGTCTATCCTTGTCGACTGATAACAAATTAAATTAGTCCAGTATTTGAGGATATACTAGTTTTTTTCATCATTAACTAAGAGTAATAAAATTATCTTTTGATTAAAAAAATTAAATAAAAAACATAATCAAGTATATTTTACTATTCTGCGGCGAAGACCTTTCGAATCCTGTAATAATATTAAGATTTGTAGTATATATTCTTCTTTACATAATAAGACTAAATACAATTTTAGAATATAAAACAATATGAAAATGCTTATGATAAAAGTGCAATGTTTAATTGTTGTTAATATCCACAGCGATGCAGATCTTTTACAAAATAGTGTACTTGTTTTTACGGTATTAGCATATTAAGGCTTCTATAAAAATAGGATCAAGCAATTCAAGAAATATCGGAAAAGAAATAACAGAACTAAGATCGCAGTTTGCAGTATATAACATCACATATAACTTGGAAACACCGATTAGGGCTAACTTGGAAAAACCGATTAGGGCAATCTACTTCGCAGGCCCGAGGTGGACGAACATGACAAGAAATAGAGAGGAATGAAAGATATAAAAAACACATCCAATATTGAGCGAATAAAGTTGATATAGATATTGACTTACAATATAATTTCATTGTTTAAATCAGTTACATTGCTGCGTTTCATTTTCCTAGCCCTTAAAATTTTGATTGTGCTGATTACGTCTTCTTTTCAAATTAATTAATTTTGCCTGGGTGTGATTATGTGAGAAGTAGATAGTTTTTCTAACTAAACAAACTGCGTATTATAAACTTAGCTGAATTCCTTTTTTAGGTACCATCAAGAAGTCTTTTTTTGTGTGTGTTTTGGCTTGGACAATTGTCATTCAGCCAGTCTCAATCAAGATAAGTTTATTAATGTAGTGTCTGTGTGTGTTTTTGTGTGTGTAGAGTAATTGTCTTGATACTTAGCAAATTCGACGTCATTGTCTTTGCTAAGAGACGCTAATTGTATCCGAACGTCTGCGGTCCCTCCGGTGTGTACCGATCACACAAGGATAGAAATTATTTTCATTTATTAATTTTTTTTAATAAACGAAAATTTCCACCCAGGTGGGATTCGAACTCACGACCTTTAGATTTAAAGGCAGGCGCTCTTACCACTGAGCCACAGAGGGGGTTTAAGAAGTCTATATAAACCATTCAGTTTTAAATTAGTCTAGCAATAGGGTATATAAAACAAAACGCCTAGCTTTAAGGCATTATTGGTTTGTTGTTGCGATGGCTGGTGACGTTAAATAACCGTATTTGTTAAATACGGTTGTGTGATCGAGAACTGGAATTTAGGTGAGTTCTTTTGCTGGACCTGGTATTCAGTAGCCGTGCTCATCAATATGTCACCACATCTGCAGTTTTAATGCCAGACTACTTATTACAGAGCTTGTGGTGCACCCGGTGGGGGGGAAGGGGGGGAAGAAGGGGGGCGGGGGTAAATCCCCTAGGGCATCTAAAGTAAAAAATATAAAGAATAGTAGGAAAATCTAATTTGAAAATGTAACTTGTCTATCACACACAATAAAAAAAATCCAAAACGCTAATTGAATTATTAAATTACCACTTTAAATATGTAGAACACAATAATTATTGTATAAATACACAATAATTAATACATAATAATTAGTCATATTTTTCATTATATTTAGATATAGATTACTACTACTATTAGGTTTATACTTAGACAAAAGTAGACAAAACGAGTCTGTTGCGAGTATCATGCGCCTACAGGACTCTATCTGCGGCAGTCTTGTGGACTATCACGGGTTGTGTTCCTCTGCATCTGTTAGCAGTAGAAAAGGGACATCTCTATGAGAGAAGAGAGCATTTGACAACAGCTATAAAAAGAATAAGAAAGGGAAAGACCAATGGAAAGAAGGCAAGAAGAGTGGAACAACAAGGAAGATGTTGCCCAGTGGATAAAGATGCTAATCCCGAGCCTAAGGGACTGGGTAGATTGTCTGTTTTAGGGAGTATCTTTATAGGTTCAGAAAGACAGATACAGATAAATGCCTGTACTGCGAATATGCCGATATTGTT